TCATTCTGTTGTCTGTCTTCGGGTGGGATCGTGCTGTCAGTGGAGGCATGGTTGGTTTTGAATTGTCTGATGTTCATTTTTGCGTTTTTTGTAAATGTTTTTTAATTTGCTGTGTTTTTGCATAGCTCGCTTAATTTTGTGAGTTTCTCTCTGGTTCTAATAACATTATCAACGTAGGTATTATTAATTATTGGTGCCGCTACTCGATTGTAGTTGTCTTTTAAATGTTTCTTATGAACGACTGCCAGCAAAAAAGGGCTGCAAATTATCCCATAGGGTAATCTTCTAAATCTATAGGTTATCGAATTGCAGCTTTCTCGGTCTCTGTTTATATTTCTGAGCCATTAAAATCTGGTGACGTCTTGGTCTTCCTTATTGATTTCGACTAGCAAGAAATTTTTTTTCAAATCTGCCACTAATGCGTAATTTTTGGTCCTCTAGCGCAGTAAGATGCCACAGAGGTCAGATAGTATGACGGGCTTTCTAAGGAGCGCTTTATTCAGACTAGCTCCTGACGTGTAGGCAGGGGCGTTGTAGACTATACAGAGTTTCGTACTAATTTTTCTTAAAGTGACTACCGGTTGGTGTGGTAAATAGTGCACCAGTGCTGACGACTGATTGTTCTGCACAACTTTAATGATGCCCGCTTTCAGCTGGTTTTAGACAATGTCATCATAATTGCGAAGCAGTTTTGGATTCTTGCGTAGCTTTTGCCATAAAGAGTTTAACCGTCGTACACAAAGTTCGAAATTCCCCGTAAATCTGAGCATGGGATTTTTCCAAGGTTATTTTATTCCGTACCGCCCTTGGTTTCTAATTACCGTCGCCCGAAGATGATTCATCAATTCTTGATCTTCCGTGTCTGTTGAGTCGTTCTTAATACCGACCGTCTCTAATTTCCAGAATTCATCCATGTCTTTCCTGGAGTTGACTATGCATTGGACAATTTCCCCTTTGATTGCCGGGGATGTTAAATGTTTGTCACTGTTCCTTTTTCATGCATGAGCGGACCTAGAACTGTGTTGGTGCAATAGAATCTGGATTTTGTTTGGTATGACTCTTTGACTACGTCATTACAGTATTCAGCGTTTAACAGTAGTAGTGGTTTTTCCCATTTCAACTCTTCAGAAAGGTAGTCGCTACTAATATTTTTGGGTACTTCTCGTTCTGTAATTCTTGTCAGCAGAACTTCATTTGTCATTTTAGTGACTGTTTGGGCTTAAACTTGTAGTATTTTGTTATTTCTTAGCCTTATCTCTAATTCGACTTCTTTTTTAATTCTAGTGGCTGGTTGTGACATAAAGAAGAGCCTTAATTGTGTAGTTTTTTTGGCAGCGCCGTCAACTACTTGTAAGTGTTTAGCTAGGGTTTCGTCGACACACGTTTGCTCACTACAGCTGTCTGAAAGTAAATACCACGTTTTGCTTGAATACCACGTTGCGGTTGTTTTGGGTTTACTGTGCTTGCTTCTACGTACATCAGTGAGGTGACGTTTGCTGCGGGTAGCCAATTGTGAGTCCTAGGCCGAATGCAGTTGATCGTTTTGGCTTTTGCTGTAAAGTGGCGTTTACAAAAAGCAGAGTTATGTGATTTTCTGCAAAAGTAGCATTGTTTTCGCGGTAGTTTGCAGTTCTTGGTATTATGATTATTTCTGAGACAGTTTTTGCACAGTCGTAATTTGCTAATTTGTTTTTCTGGTAGTAGCGCTGTGTCGTACTCCTTGCATTACTGGCTAAAACGGTCTTCCTGACAAAATGTGCACCGCTTGCCTGGCCGTTTTGATAAGTTTTTAAGAGTTCTTTTTTCTTGATGTTGTGTTTTAACGGTTTCGTTTCTTGAATGCTGAAAGGTGAAGTTAGTTTCCGATCTCCTTTTGTTTTAGATGGTTGATAACTCGGCTTATTAAGTAAAGGTTTTCCAGATTCCAACACTGACTGGGCATATGTGTAGCCGTTTAAGGCGTTCTGTATAAAGTATCGCAGTTGCGCTAACCACAGTCTGCTTTCTTTGTCTCTTTCGCAACCGATTTCGGTAGGCATTTGGAAGGGTCGTTTGGGCTCTACGAAACTGAGAATTAATTTGCTTTCGACATCTGTGCTGAAGGTCTCCAACTGTCTTAGGATTCTCAACAAGTTTTTGAACGTTGTTGTTGTTGTACTCTTACAGGCTGGAGGCATTCGTTCTTGCTCGAGTATTAAACGTCGTGTCGCCTCCTCCGGTCTATCAAAACGGTTCTTTAGGAGGTCTTTTTACAATTCATGGTTATTTTCTACCACTGCGTATTCCTGTACACATTTTTCGGCGTCGCCTTCCAGTAAGGATATCAGGCGAGTCAGTTTTTGCCCTCAAGGGATGTTTCCATTTAAGTCTATTTGTGAAAGGAAGGCAGTTCAAAAGGTTGGCCACTTTGCGAAGTTTTCTGAGTGTTTTGCTACGGTATTAAGTAATGGCGGATTGCTGTTGAGGGGTGCAAAACGGCTGATTTGTTGCGTTGGTAGTATGTCGCCTAGTTCTAGCTTTAGATATTCGTCTAGATTCATCTTTGTTTGGTCATTGTTTGCTTCTAATGCTATCAACGCTCCTGTTGCGTCTGATTGTGCCTATTCTTTGTTGGTGTTCAGCTAACATCTGCTCTACTTTGTGGTCTTTTAAGGCAGTTTGCACGTAAGTGGCTTGCCATTGCTCTACGCTTCTAGTGTAACCCTTTATAGCGAATTTCCTTAGCTGTGCCGCTTCTATGTATTCCCTATTTACTTCTATGGTCTTATTCTTATCCTTGTCATTTTCTGGCGGCGGCTGTACCCCAACAGTCTCTTGTATTTGTAACCGTAGCTTTTTGAGATCTTCTTCTAATGGGGCAAACATTATGTTAGTTATAAGAGACAGTTTTTAAATGACAGAAAGGACAGATAAGAATGAGAAGTTGGGAATGATCAGGACGGGTGAAACATTTGTTCAATTTGGTACTTTTCTTTACGTCTACGGCTTTTATTAGTTGCGAAATTTATAATTTTTTTCTTTTTAGCCAAAAAACTTTGATCTTCTACGTGTTTTGGTTTTTTTGCGCTGTTCATGTATTCTGGTTTATTTAATTTTTGCGTTTGTTTCACTTTCTTCGTCTTCTGCATCTTTTTCGCTTTTTCTATTTTTTCTTCGTATACTCAATGCTTGATCTTGGTGTTGCAGGCTGTTCCTGATTTCTCGTTCTTCTGCATCTTGTGCTGGAACTCCTATCGCTGCTGTAGCTGCCTCCATCAGAGGACACCCAAGCAAGGTGAGTTGGATTTCTGCGTTGCTTCTTCCTAAGCCTGTTAAGTTTCTTTTTTTATTACTGTTTATTTATTTTGATTTCTGTTTGCACTGCATGCGCCGTTTCTATTTTTTTCGTTTTGGCTATGTTTCTTTTTAGGTGTTCGTTCCGAGAGCAACAAAAGCAACACATAATAAAATCAATAAAAAGAAAACAAATTGAGAAGCCATGCACAGTTCATAAAGAAACAAAACTAAATCACCACCTAAAAAAGCGAAATTTCAAAAACGCGTATAATTGTTTACCTAAAAAGCAAAAAAAGGAAAAAAAACGACGCACAGTTTACGAGAAAAATATAAGTAAATTAGCGGAAAAAGGCGAAAAAATTAGGAAATAACAAAGAATACACATGAACTCTTCTTTCCCAAAACGAAAGCAAAAAAGGATAACCGGACACATTTTAAACTAAAATAAGAAGTAAATTCAAAACAAGAAAAACGAAAAGTAAATCAGATTGTACTAAATTATTAGAAAATTGAAAAGATTTAAAAAAACATAAAAGCAAACGTAGTTGGAATAAAGAGAAAAAATAAATAAAAAACAAAAGAAGAAAACTTGACCAAGTAGCAAATGTATTAAAGAATGAAAAAAAGCCGG